GCATTGCCTTGCGCTGATGTTTGTGGCAGAGGGATCGTCCCAGTCCTCTCCAGCCGCCAAAAGAGGTCTTTTTTTTTTTGCAGCGTTTTAATGACACTAGTGTTGTTTCCCAAAGTATATATTTATATGTATTTTTCTTCCTCTAGGTATTATTTCAGAACGTACTTGATTCAATATGGCTTTGATTAGCCGAAAAACTTTCCAGTTTTATTCATCCAGCACACCAGCAAGCAGGTCTGTTTTGATGACCCTAAGCAAGAGATTGAGCTTCATCAAGGGGCAGCAAAAGCCCCAGTGCTGTAGCTCTGTAGCCATGAGGATGCTATGTGTCAAAGATAAATCTCAGTATATGTTTTGTAGAAAAAACCACGTTCAACTACGGATGCAGTCACTTTCTGTTAAAGAAACTGTGCGTCTCTGTGGAGATACTGAGAACTGTACTAAATCTGATAACATGTGGATGGATGAACAATTATTTTTCAAGAAGTTGAACAACCTTTGTACATCAGAAGAGATTTTCGACTTTCTTAGCTCTCTAGAAGTCCTGTCTGATACTATGGCCGCAGGAGCCCTGCAGAGGATTTCTGAAGTTGAGGTGGATGACAGTGGTCTGAAAAACCCTGGAGTGTTAGAGAATGAAGTTTTCAGGGCATTATGCTTGCAATTTGAATTCGAATCTTCAAAACTGTCAAACACTGGGCTGTTGAACGCATTGCAGGCTTTGGTAATGCTTTGTATAGATCCACAGAGCACGTTGATGGTGAGCTTGCTTTCAGAGAGTGAGGAGAGACTTGGTAAGGCACAGTTGACTGTTGAAAATCTATGTGCTCTTGGAGAGAGTTTGCTTGAGTTGGAAAGCCCAAGTTGTGCAATGCTGCAACAAATTGTGAACCACATGCAAGAAAAAGACATTGAGAAGTGGAGTCCAAGGGAAATAGTGATGGTTTATAAGATACTGCAGTTGACTGCCAGGGAAAAGAAACAATACCAAAACTTGCTAAACAGACTGAACAGTGTCACTTTACCTGCAGTTTCCCAGCTAAGCCCAAACTTTGCGAGTGTAATACTGAATTCACTGGTGGTTCTTTGTCAGACTCAGGCAGTTGCCTTAGTTACTGCACTGTGTAAACATTCTGCTAAGCATGTTCCATATTTCACGGATTATGAACTGGTAAATGTCCTGGACGCCTTCCTATACTTCGGACATCGTGAACAAATTTTTACAGAGGCACTGGAAATGCATGTCCCTCAGTCCATCCTTACCATGCATCCTCAAACAGTCTGCAAAGTCATGCAGTATTGCTGCAAAAAGGCGATCCTTTCAAAGCCCATCTTTGATGCAGTGGCAGAAAGTTTCATTTCCAGTGCTGACAGACTTACCACTGACCAGATTGCTGAATATATTATACCATTTGGGACTCTTAACTACCTGCCTCCAAGTGCTTCTTCCTTGTTTAGGAGGCTTGAAACTGTACTGCACACTCGGCTTAGTCACTTTCAGCCTCACACCTTGGTGAACCTGCTACACTCGTGTGTCCTTATTCAACGTTATCCACTAAATTTTCTGCCAAAAATATTTAGTCCCTATTTTCTGCAAAAGCTTCAAGGTAAGGAGCCATGTTTCTCTAGGAATGTTCCACATTTTTTCTACTCTGTGGTTTGTCTCTTGTCAAGCACAGTTTTTTATCACTCTCGGACAAATCAGCAATGACTTGATGATACTTATAGGTCCCTTCCAACTAAGAATATTCTGTGATGTGGCTTTAAGTGATTCAAGAGAATAGTGATAAGGAGGCTAAAGAGTGATGCCTCCTTGTCACAGTCGCAGTTGTCTTTAATGTTATATCATTTAGATGAGTTTGAAAATTTGACTGTACAATCTTAAACAGACACTTGAATTCCCTTTAAAAATTTATTTCGGTTAATCCTTCAGCTTTTCTAGAAAATAGTGACCTGGTTTTCCCCATGTTTGTCCTTTGTCTCATACAGGCTGCTAGAACATCTCCCATGTGATAGCCTGACCTTGGCTCTAATTATTGCATATTCCAATACTTTTGGACACAAACCTATTATGAACAACACAACATTTTAAGAAATTCTGTGTTAGATAGTAAAGCATTTTTAGTGTCATTACAGAGAGATGTAAGCTATGCCAGAAAGGTGAGTGACTTCTTAAGATCTCAGCTAAGATTGCTCTGTTAATAAAATTAAGGTCAAATTTTCAAAGTGATCAGAAATTTGGTTACTTTATTTTTTGTTAACATGAAATACCTTAAGGGGTTGATTTTTATGACACAGACAAATCTCCAGAAGTTATTTGGTATTATCCACTACTTGCAGATTAAAAAAAAAAAAAAAAAGGTGAAACAATGAAATTCTGGTATTATAACTTGGGGAGAAGGGGTTATTGGAAGGGGGTATTTATCCAAGACCTCCACTCAAACTTATTCTCTATAGAATGTTCACTATCTCTGAGATCCTCATTTCTTTTGGTGAAAGAATATGACAGTTTTAACTAAGATCTTGCTAGTTGTATATTTTTTATGTTGATATTTCTGTAAATAATTCCCTCATTTTTCTAACTCTGTCATTTCACATTGATCTTTCTGTTCATTCGAACAGTTACTGAGAATTGTAGTGATCAAGTAAATTGATCAATTGTAAAGATCTCTGCACATTAAACTGAATAGCTCTTCCTAACTTCTGGCTTGTGTAAAGATACTTTGTTGAAGGTACACCTGAAAACCTGAATGTTGTTGTTTCAGCTCAACCACCTGGTTTGAATGGAGTTGTTACCTCCCAGCTAACCCAGCTTTTTCTGACTGTCACCCTGGAGTGCCCATTTTATGAGGTACAGTACACGTGAAACCAGAATTGATGTTAACAAGAGGTGATAAGTTCATTGGGACTCTTTTTATAATTAGTTGAGGACTGTCTTTCCCATAAAAATATTCACATTGGACAAAATAGGTTTTTTTTTTCTTGGTGAAAATATGAAGCATTTCTACCTGATTGATTGACTTGATATATTTGTGTGTTTGACAGAACTAACTTAACTCTCAAGTTATTAAAGTACTTTTTTTGTATTTCTAAATACTTTTCCAACAGCTGTTTTGTTTCTGTGTTTGGCTTGTGAAGTTGTGAAGCACAAAAAGAGATCAGGCTCACTTTGATGTTGGCCTCACTGGAGAGGAATGGAAACAGTTGTGCATTTCTCATGAGCATGTTCAGCATGACAGTGTGGAAGCTTGATGAGGATGTTCTGGTGGTTGTTTGGGGGATTTTAAGTTTCCAGCAGATCATACCTCAGACTGTAGGTCTCTCAACAGACTTGGCTTTGAAATGCACAGAATACATTTTGCTACATTAATGAGTTAATTACAAAAACGTTATCTCCTTTTTCTTTTGTTTGATTTGGTGTTCTGTCCTTATGTAGGGTCCGAAACTCCTTCCAAAGTATCAAGTAAAGGCCTTTCCGATGCCTCACAGTTCTTGTGATGTTCACCTCCTTAAGAGGGTGAAGACTGGATTACTTTATTTACTAAAAAAAAGAATATATTTTGCATCAGAAGTATCAACACCATATTTCTATGCAGTTGGTAAGTAACATTTCTTTAGATTAATAATTAAATGTGAGTTTATCCTGCCAAAACTTTAATTCCCTTTGTAAGCATTCTAAATTCTGCAAATATAGAAAAAGTAAACTGGAATACAAAACACTGTAGAAGGTCTGAAATGGGGAAACATCTTGGGAACTTCAAGTAAATCCATTTTTACAGTCAGAAAGAAGAAAAGGGGGAGAAAAGACCTACAGCATTTCTTGGAATTCACGCAGCCCATCTGTACTGAAAATAGCTGCTAACTCTTGCATTCTGTATTTTTACTATCAACTCCTTATCTTTTAAACAATTTGTATAATGTAAAGCAAAATGAGGCAGTGCCACTTGCGTGCTCTCCTCGCTTTAGTGGTGAGTAGAGAAAGGGAGAACTGGAAGGTGGGCAGTCTTGTGCCCTGCTGGGCTTCTTTCCCCTCAGCAAGAACAACTGACTACATATAGTTAGTGGGGGTTTGTGGGCTGAAGGAGAGGAGTGAGCAAAACAGTATTTCATGAAGCAGGAAAGGAAACAGAGAAGGTAGTGATGAGGAAAGATGTGTGCCCAGGAGGGCTGGATGATAATACAATGTTGAGGGAAGGGCTTCTTGGATGCCATGGATGTCAGAGGGATTTAAAAAAAATAAATAAATAAAAGAGAGGGATGATTCCAGAATTTTTCTGCCTTCAGCTTCCACCTGGGTGTTGAAGTTAGCAGGGTTTAGGTCCAAAACTCATGTTTGCAAATTGACATAACCTATAAAACTAGGGAATTAATGAGAAAAATAAAGGATGGGGGCAGAGAGAGAGAGAGACTCTTCACAAAGCCCTCAAATTCCAGAGGCCCTAGCCACAGCAGCAAGGTGCCATTTGACTACATTATGGTTTTTAGTGGACTTAGAATACTAATTTGCTGGTTAGCATTAGGAAAGGCTGAAGTGTTGCTATGTATCACTCATTTGTTTTAAGTCTACATACATCTTTTGCAAGCCTTTGTGATTCAGAAAAAAAAAGACTTGTGATAGTATTTTAGCTATTTTATAAAACAAAGACTGAGAGGATGAGAATTAAACAGTTCATTATATGAATGAGTTTTAATGTCACTTGTTTTTTCATTTGTACTAGATATCGAGATTAAATTAGATGAGGAAGGTTTTGTATTGCCTGTGGCCCAACGCGAAGAGGTACACAAACGGTAAGAGAATAAAAGAAACTGTTGGTAAAATGTTGGTTAACATTGACAAAGAGCATCCATGGTGAAACACTGGCAAAATTTAAACTATTTGGAGTTTTTTCATTGACTTCAGCTAAGTTAAAGTTTCACAATAAAACCACTGGCAAAAGGACAAAATTAACAATCTCTGCTTTTTGCTTATTGTTTTGCCACCTGACTGTGTGGTGTCAGGCAATTAGTCTCTTTACCCAGTGAGAGTCAGGATCAAGTGATCCTGTTTGGCCTCTAGTAATGTATTTAGATCTTCTGTAATTCATTTTCAAATTAAAACTAAATTTTAATCAAGTGTATTTGCATAGATTTAATATAGTTTAAGCTAGTTCACAAATTTACTTCTGTAAGGAATCCTGTGTAATGAGGATATTTGCTACAGATGCTGGGGGTTTTAATTGACAAATGCATAGGTGTTTAAAAAATATGTTAAACAAGGGTTATTTTGAGAAACCTTAGATAAGGTTAAGCAGCCTCCCTGTGTTATTTGCAACAGCACTTCTGTGAAGAAAGCAAAATACTTTGAAAAAGTTATGCTTTCTCCAGCTTAACCTTCACAAGACTCAGAGACTAATATAGATTTTTTCAAAAATCCCATGCTTAAATGCTTAAGAATGGGCTTTACTGTTTTTTTTGAAATAACAGTTTTCATCTGTAAATAAGGTCACAATATACTTAACATACTGAAAATTAAGCAACTTTTTAACAGTAGATATAGAAACCAAGGAGAAAAAATTTAGTTATAATCCATGATGCTGCCGATCATACATACAGGTTTAACTTAAACCGATTTAGCTTAAACTTAACTTTTACTTGAAGTGTAATGGATTTCACAGGTAAACTAGTAAGTTAAATAAATTTAGCTGCTGAAATGCTTTCAAGCTGAAGCCAGTTTTTTGTGTGTTTTTCCTTCTAAAAGAATTCAAAACAGCTTACCAATAGTAGTATTAAAAATATCAATCTCTCATTAACTTGTATGGTAATTTTTGTTCAGAGCAAAAAAAAGCTTTTCAGATCAATTTCACTAAGCTTCAGGCTTTCAGCTCCTGCCCTTTTATTGAGTGATTTAAATTGTCCTGAACTAGGTAACTCCCATCCTGCAAAATCTGATTCTGGGTGGTATAAGGAAGTAAGAAGGGAGGTATTGTTTCATGCTTGTTAGGAACTGCAGTATTTGTGATTAAATAAGTGGTTGTTGGGAGTTTTTCTTTCATACTACACTTATGCTTGATTTTAGAATTGCCCTCTGTGTTGATGGTCAAAATAGATTTTGTGCTAATAGCCACAATCTGTTGGGAGAAGAAGCTATTAAACAGAGACATCTTCAGTTACTTGGTTATGAAGTTGTGCAGGTAAAGTCCAAAGACAGTAATTTGCTTTTGCTCTGGCTATATAAACGTGTAAAAATTTATTTTACAATGCTTAAAACTAGTTTCAAGTAATTTCTAAGGCAGATGTAGTCTTGTCCTTACTATATTATGTTCTCTCTGCTTAGCTTTTGCCTCTTTGAGGGTGTACAGAAGGTCCTTTTTCTTCCTTGGATCAGTTGGTGTATTCTGTCTGTGTTTTCTGCTAAATAGTGGCTGCTTGAAAGATTACATCTCTGCAGTAATTAATTCAAGTCTTGACTTACAAGCAAATGTTGTGTAAGAGTTCTGTAGAACTGGCATTTTTAATTAAATTCTTTTTTAAAAGGTTTGAATTTGGGGTTTAAAAGGAAGAGTTAAAAAAACCCCAAACTGATTCGTATTGTAAATAAAATGTTCACAACAAGTATATCTTTATTTTTCCTGTTGAATTAAGTAGGGGTATTTTTACCTTTAAACATACTTCTAGTTTTTCAAGATTTTATTTTCCATTTATAATCACTTATTACATAAGCCTAACTCCATAATATTTAACTTAGTTTAAACTGTAATGGATTTTACTCTTTGTTTTACAATAATGTCTTTTCAGATGATTTACAGATCAATAATACACTTAAGATTAAATGTTTCATTTTAAAGCAGAAAAATCTTTGATGTGTAATTTTTCATCTGCTTAATGAACATCTCTCTTACCCAGTTGTTTATTAAAAAGGTATTTCCAGCAATCATTTTTGTTTTGTTTCCAGATTCCATATTTTGAGATAGAGAGTCTAGAAAATTGCAGGAAAATGGCAGAATATCTGCACAAAAAAATCTTTCCTCATACATATGGACTCAGCAGATGACACTGGAGAATACCACTAAATCACAAGCTGACCTCCTGTACTACGGAGTGGAAATACTGTGCATGGAAGAAAAATGGTGTTTTCTAAATAACTCCACCGCAGATAATTTGAGCTTCTGAATTTGAAACCTTCCAATATTTGGAACAATTGACGTGTAAAGAGTAATAAAGAGTATCATATTTTTTTAAGTTTTGTGTCAGTATTTATTACAAGTTGACAGATGTGAGTGCCAGACAGTCAGTGCTGCTTTTGCCTTGTATTTCACTCATTCTAATTCGCAGCTGCAAACAGACACGTGACTATTCAAGGATACTGGCCAGTCTGAATGTAAAGAATATGCCATGCTACCTACTAATTGGGGCTTTTCTTGGCAGTATAAGAAGAAATTGTGCAATTTACTTATAACTGTTTGTGTAATTTTACGAATCTTTCATGAAGCTAAAATTTGCAGTAGTTGCTGAAGCAATATTGGCTTATTGCTCTTAACAGATGTAGAATGCTGTTCAATAAGTAACAATGCCTTACAGAAAATGAGAGCACTTTTAATAAAAAAAAGATTTGCTTTACTTTGTAAAGTAACAACTGCCACAGGATAATGGACTTGCCAACTGTCTCTGTGGGGGCACCCAATGTTCTGGATATATTCTATTTGTAGTTTTGTCTTTGGTGGCAGTTTTAGCTAAACTGTCTAAATAGGGTCACATATGCCCTCCAGAGTTCCTTCAGTTTACAGAAACTCTACGCTCTGAAGCTCAGAAGAACTATGTTCTGTGGCAGTCCTTTTTTATGTATAAGTAGAAATACTGGAAGTGAGAACCAGAACCAGTACCCACTTCATCCGGAACAAGTGTGCCCCAACTTGGGTCAATATATTGCTTTGCAGATGGATGAAGGCAAAACAACACAGCTTTAGTTCTGATCGTATTATGTATACTTGATGAACTGTCACGTAAAACACATTTTCAGGTGAGCTTATTATTTATTAGTAGCAAAGCAGAATTCCCAGCATCACCTAGTTTGATATTTAGCTGTTATGTTTTGATACAATAAAGGCAAAAATTTTACATCATTGACATTCTGTGTATTTTACCAATAGATGATACAGGGTGTGGCCTTTTTTCCTTCTGAGGCTACTGTTAATAATTTGTGAATTGCAGGTGTGTTAATTGTCCCAACAACCCTTGGAGATTACCAGATGCAAAATCGAGATGCAGAATATGATTTCCACTGTGTCATGCTGTGCATTCTGTTCATGATAATTTATTGCACGTATAAAACCCTTACTCACAGTAGGATATCAGTGCAGACAGGTGAGGGAGCACCAAGAGGTAATGAAATGTTTTCCAATGGTGTAACAGTAAGCTTAGAACATCAATAACCTAACAGTTCATCATCCTAGCAAAAGAGAAATTGAAGGAGAATAGAGGAAATGTTTTTTCAGACATTTATAAGGAACTTATCCCTAATATGGAAGAATTTGTCAAGGTATTCTTTTAACAGTGAGCACTGAAGGGAGAAGTCAGCCACTCAGAACTGAATGAGAAACAAGTAGTCAGAGGAACAACCTCTGAAAGGCCTTCAAAAGTGAGGAAGGATGAGAAAGGGGTGATGTAAGCAAAGAAATGAGATGGGAAAACTCAGGTGTTTTTTGATGACTCAAATTTTCTCTGTGGTGAATGAAGTGGTGGTGCCTATTTATCACACAGGCCAGAAGGTGGTGGTGTTCTCAAACAAATTTGATTTCCAGTAGTTTTTCAAACACAGATGGTATGTAAATATAGTAAGGCTACTTATAAGAAGCAATTTGTACTGACTGTCCCAAACTAAAAATAACCTGCCAAGAATGTGGCTGTATTCCATCTCATTCTTTACTGGTATACATTTGATACTGATTTTTGAAAAAACATTCTATTATTAGAAAACATTTCCTTCTGACTGTTCTTACCGTGATTCCTTTCATTTAATGCTGCTGGACTTGTTTAATGAAATATTTATTGTTGAATATAGCAGTTAATGTCCTCTTGACCCTAGCCCATTGAGTACAGAGGAACTTGCAGGTAATAAATAGTGAAAGTAACAAACACCTCTCTGAATGGGCTGCTCTATGTGCTCTGCTTCTCACACCATGTCAAATAAGTGCTATTGATTGCCTAATTTATTACTTATCCAGGCCCCACATTAAGAAGTTTTTTGCTTCTGTTATTTTTTCACTAGAAGTCTTGCTGTGTTCAAAAATGACATAGGTTTCCTGTGTGTAAGTACTAACAAAACTAGTGTCAGTCAAAGCTGTGGACTTCCAGTCCTTATTTTGGCATGATTAATCTGGCTGTTGTTCCTTTCCAAAGAATACTGCCTCAGCTTTAAACAACAGCAGGATCAATGGCTCTTGAGAACCAAACTGATGCATATGCTGCAGGAGAAACTCCTTCTGAAATTTCCTTAAAACTTTAGTACTGGATTCAGCGAGAATGCAAGGCATTAAATATTTAAGGAAGTTTAGGCATTTGCTCTATTTAGTGCTTGTTCTGCTAGTATTACTTTTTTTCCTTTTTTTTCAGCATTGGATACAGAACCAATGATGGTTTTTCTTGTCAGATCAATCTGTCAAACACCATTCCTACAGTGAAAGTCAGTGAAATGAATGTCTGAAATCAGCTAAACCCAGATTTTGTCTATTCAAATGGTAAGTGCTCAGAAGTTCTTTTAACTTGACTTCCACTTGAAGCCTACTGGAACTGCTAAGCACTTCTGGAAGTAGATCACTTCTTTATTTGCCCATTCATAGGAAAGCCCATCCATTTTAGAAAATTCTGAGCTGAATCTCCGTTTCAGCTGTTCTGCAGATAAAATGATGGCTCACAATTCTGTAGCAAAATCATAAGGATTAAGAAGTTCGTGACCACTGATACCTTGAGGGACAAGCTTGCTTAAATGTTAAGTCTGTGAATAGTTATGTAGAAGCAGTGCCTAGAATTGCAGAATCAGCTTTTGACCCAACAGGTCTCAGTTGCAGTTTTACTGCCTAAAATGTTCAGCTCTTGTTGGTGCTGCTGTTCATGAGATTTTTGTGAGAATGTAAGAAGACATGCATTTTAATTAGCATGAGGAGAAGTACAGCTGCTCTTTCATCCTATTTTTAATTCAGATAATTTTCATTAACTAAAATGTAGAGGAAAAGGCAGAAGCACCATATTGCTTTTTGATGTGGTTTTTTTTTCTACATAAATGTTGCTGGCAATGACAGATGCGAGAGACTTAACATGGATCCAGTCTTGGAGGTTATTCCAAAAAGCGAGTGCTGCGCTTTTGCCCATATATTGCTTCATGGAGGTGATTAGCCCTTGCATGTTCTTTGGTTGGCTGCTCTAAGGGCTTGTTTACACGTTTCCCATACTCTGAAGATGACAACACAGGAACAGGTCTTGCCATTTCCTGTGAAAATATAAAAGTCATCTTATAAGAAAATAACTGAATAGAAAACTTGGCAGTTTTCTAATGCTAAATATGCTGTGGCCAGGGTCAAAATAACTGACAAAACTGTACAGCACTTGCTATATGGATGTATATTTATTTAGCAGTGATCTGCACCCTTACTGTTCCATCCCTGCCCTAGTTTTTTATGTATATGAATAAACCATTAGTGTATCACTAGATGACATGATGATAAGATATGGAGCTGTGGACTGATAACTTTTTACACACATACGTACACACGCGATTACCACGTGATTACTGGCAAATTAAATGCTATGGTACTGAAAAGCACAGATTTTATTTTTATTATTTTTCTTGTGCACTGACTTCCATGATTCATTTGAAAAATGGGAGACATTTGTGTCCTGTGTTACAGCAACACCTACCCTGCTTACACAATTCAGTGAAAGCACAGCATAAAAAAAAAATCAAAGCCTAAAGAAAAACCCTGAGCAACCACTAGTCCATGCAAGCTTTCCCTGAAGGAAATAAAGCATATACTACTTTAATTCTGCACAATGAAAGGTTTTACTAAAAATGCTTGTATCTGTAAGATTACAGAAATAACTGCAATGATAGGAAGTAGACTTGTTGAAAAATAACCTAAGAAAAGATTATTTTAAGCTTGTTCTTAGCTGCACTTTAAGTGACTGTGCAATCACTATCTGAAATCTGCAGTTCCTTCCTGTGCTACAGCAATGGGGAGCTATGGAGTCAGAAGGGAAAGACAGGCTTGTTTGTTTTTCCCTAGCCAAAGGTCTCAGGCTTATCAGGCTGCTTGTATGTTTGTGCACTGGCTAATACAGTAAGCCTTGGTCCCCGATGTGTTTATCTAGTCTTATAAATAGTATCTAAAAGGAAAATCAAAATGCAGATGCCACACCACAGTTCAAGTGCAAACAAATTACTTCTTTGCTACAACAGACACAAGTCTGAGCCAAATCAGAACTTGGGTCCTGTGAGGATGCACGTGGGATCACAGATTGGAGGGGTCTCATAGCAGGGCAGTCAGCTGAGAGACATTTCCAACATTTCCAGACTCATGAACAAAACTTGAGATTCTTGGGAAGATGCTATTAACTAATTTTTTTTTTTAAATCCTGAAGAAACCTCAAGAGAAAAGCCTATTACAAAACAACCATTCATCCCTCAGTCCTCCTACCCACTTTACTCTATCCTATTAAAAGCTATTCAGTACACCAGCTTTTAACTCCACGAGAATGAAAATCAAGTCAAAAAGAGCGGCAGGCAAAATTAAGACCATTTTCTCCCCTGCCCTATTTGTGGATAAATGTTGAAAAATGAGAAATGACAAAGTCTTTGTACCATCGAGAAAGACTTTGCTAGCAATACAGGGTTTAGGCAGCAGTATGTAATTTCAGTAGTTTGTGTTCCTTTTAAACAAATAAGAATCAATTTTCTGCATCCTCAGTAGCACAGCACTGACTGTGCACACTGGCATTTTATCTTTGTGGGTTTGGCATTCAGCGGATTTCAGATTTTCCAACAGTTGGCTGGGAAGCGTCCTGCTACACGCCTTCGCAGTGTGTAATTCTAGCACTGCTAACGCTTGAAATCAGCAATGGCAGCCTTGTGCAAACACGCTGCTGCAGTTACTGTGCTGCAAGTAGCTAAACTGAGTATCTGTGACTGTGCTCTTGAATTCCCTGTGTGCACCCAGGCTCTGCAGGAAATGAGGGGCTTACTTGCAGCATTTTTTATTTTTTTTCCACTTCAAGTAAAGCAGTGTACTGTGGTGGATTCAGCCTTTCTGGTTTCAGTGTTGTACTAGAAAGATGTTGATTGTGGTATTTTTATTTATTATATTTTATAATATAGTTATATAAAGTCTGTGAGGGCCACAATGATAATTAAAGAGGAGTTGAGTACATGACCTGCACTTAGTTATGGCTACATCCAGTGTTGGGTGTCATCATGTACAGCAGGATCATGTAGCATTAAACAGGTGTGGGTTTGATGTGTCTCCATGCTAATTAAAGAGTTGGATTAAGGGACACCTGTTCAGACAGAATCCCTAGTGTGCACTCCCCAGCAGAGCTGGTATGAATTCTGGTCCATTCTGGTTTTAGGAAGAAAACTGGTAGGAAAGTGAGTTTTGTTGACGCAAGCGCTCAGTAAAAAATCTGAACTTTACATTACTAAACCTTCTACACAAATTTCCCAGTTGGGGTTGGGCTTGGTAGTGAGGGAGCAAAGTTGTCTTTGTTTTGTTGAAATAAAAAACTTCATTTCTAATTGGAGTTGTCACTCACATGCCTTTTAGCCTCACACAGACTACAGTTGACAGATTGGCCTCACAGATTTACTAGGCATGAGCACATGATGGTAATGGGCACTCCTGGGATTCCTTTGGGAGCATCTAATACTGCCTGTACTGTCTGATAGAGTGGAAGAGTATTATGGCTATGCACTTGCACTGAAATATCTGGCATATATGGCTTCTAGTGAGACAAATCACAAGCAGTGGCCTTTGTTACAAAATAACAACAATTTTATTACACAGTAATTAGAGTAATTTTAACTTTTGTCTTTCTGTTCCTTCTTCCTTATCATATATAATCATCAAGGCAGCCAGCCATCCCTAGCCTACCCATCACTTTACATCCCATGAACCCATTGGGATTTTGAGGCCAATAGCACACAGAGGTTACATTTCATTTGGGTTTTTTTGGCAGCCTCTCCCTCTGTGTGTAGGTGAATTTGTGTGTGTGTGTGTGTATATAAATAGATACATAAACACTTGTGTATGTAGTTGTATTATTCAGACACTGCATGGAAAAATACATACATATATATTTATGTATATATATTATCGTATTTCTGTTTTCAAGGCAGCTGTGTAAAACCATGGCTGTATTTAGCCATTGGGCTGCACATCAAACCCAGATTCTGCTGGCCTTGAATACTTTGCCCATTCTTTTTGAGGCATGTCCATGGTGTTCTGATTGACCACTCCTTTGCACTAGCTCCCAATGAATTTCCTTCCTGCAGGGCAATCTGGTGTAAGTTTCCATAACAAACTCAACAGCTTCAGAAGCTTGGACTCTCACAGCAAATGCTGGTGTAGGGAGGGTGGGTGTCAGAGGACAGTAGTGAAATCAGGGCCTCTGAATCCAGTCCTCTCAGGGAGAAAAGTTTTCAAGCATCACAGGAATAGCTGCAGGAGCACCTGAACTACAACTCTCGAGAGGCACAGACATTCAGAATTCTCCCTAAACTCTGTAACAGAAGGTTTGCCTCTTTCCCCATGCTTTAACCTGCATGTGTCTTGTCACCTGGAAATCTTCAGGATGCCAAAGAACAACAGCTAATTCAAGTGTCTTCATGGGCTAATGCTTTCTTCTAAACCTCCAGGCTCCTTCCAATTCCTTTCCTACCATATAGGGTGCACTATAAAGGGTAAAACAATGCCTGTAGTGCCTAGCCACGTCAGAAAAATAAAAATCAACTTTAACAAAGATAATTATGAATTCATCAAAGGGTTACCTCCTCATTAATGTTGAGACCATGAGCTTTTGCATGTTTTCTGTCACAGCGAGGAAGATACTGGTTGTAACCTTCTGGTATTCTAAAAATGGTGTCATAGGTGAAAACATGTTCTGTCTTGAGAAAAGGGGAAAACGTGGCTAATTCACAGCATTACTTAACTTTACAGATTACAGAATATATGTAGTCAAATCAATACTTAAATGGTGCACATATTGTATTAGATTATGACAACTGTAATATTACTGAGCTTATTAGCAAGTTTGGGCCACTCCTTTGTAATAGTTTGCAAAATTGCCTAATGACACATGATACCTTTTTTTAAGTCTGGTCATCTCTGAAATTTCCCTTGTGGCAATTTACTTCAATTTCCACATCTCACCCCCCCTCTCCCCAGCCCCAGTCTGTTGTAACTTTTGGAAATATAACTGCTTTATTTGCTTTCATTTTCTGAACTTAATGTTCTTCTTCTTAAGTTCGTATATTTGTCAATTGAACTGGCACAATTATGTAAAAGCAAAACAGGCAGTTTCCAAATTAATTTGGAATGAAAAGGACAAAGGTATCCTGCAGCATAATCATCGTTTAATTTCTGATTAAAGCAGAACTGAGAACAGTTCTGAAACATGCCACAGTGGTAATTCTGTGATCCAGTGGTATGAAAATATAGCACACCCCAAGACAGAATATAATTGTATAACTGTTGATATAGGTGTATCCAAAGAAGCAACATTAAAGATCTGACCTGCTAACAAAGGCATTTGTGGAATCCAATCAACAAGTTGTCATGAATGGAATCAAAGGAATTTCAAAAACAAAAAGAGTTTTCAAGGAAAAAGCAAAAGCCCCTACTGAAATATGCTGTCATATGTTAATGAGCTTCATTAAAAGGTCCATATTCAGTTAAACATCAATCCATCACTGTCTTTGTGCATGGCTGACTAAAAAAATGATGCATTTTGTTGGGCTTTTTCCCCCCTCTAATATAGTGTGTCCTATTTAACCTTTGAAAAATTCATGTATTTAGAGTCTTACAATTTACAGTGCAATCCTTCAAAAATAGTCAAGTTAGGGCAAGTCAAGAAGGCCATAATGGTTCCGTTAAAAGAAGACCATAGTTAAGAGCACTAGTAAGACACTGCTGTAATCACAGACTTAATTTATAAAGAAACCTCCATTACTTGGTTCTGCCAAGAGGAGGGATTATTTGGTATTTAACCTATCTACCCCTTCATTTCCCAGAAACCACTAAGCCTCAGAGATTTTCAGTCACATTCAAGAGCATCCTGCACCTGATGTGTCACCTTCATGATTATTATTATTTCTTATTTCCTTACTTCTCCTTTACTCCCCATGCTACCAGTTTCATTCAGAATTTCAGTTAGCATCCAATTTGTGCCCACCACCAGGAGTGTTATTTGCTCTTTGGTTTTATTCATGTGGCATTATTTGTCTGTTATTTTTACTTGTGTCAGAGCAAAAAACTCATTCTTTCTGGAACTCACAGAAAGGCAGCCAGCCTGTTATGTGAAAAACTAGCTCTCTCCCAGATGATCTGTTTTAAGATTTTCTGCCGGATGTGTAGAGGCAACAGTTCTGTTCTCAATACACTGATAACTTTCTGCTACTGTTTCTCTTTGTTATTAAATGATAACTTAGTTGGCCTGGCTGATGGTGGTGGTATTGAGCTGTTTCTTAAACCTTTCTGAGCAAGTGAGTCATGGAGAGCAGACGATAAATATGCACTCAGGGTGGGCATCCTCTGTGTAGTGCTACTAAAGGTAAGTGCTTTGCAAGCATTCAGTAATATTCCAGACACACATAAAATAAGTAATGGCCTTCTCCACAGCTCAGAAGAGGAAACATCAGGCAAACTGGCGACAGTAACATGTAAAACAATGGAGGGAGCAACTGTCAACCAAGGGATTAAAAGGCAGGAATTTCTAGCTTATGGTCACATGATGAGCACATCATCTTCCTATGTTTTCTGCTTCAGTCTCTGATACACAGTTGGGTTTAGGTATTTAAGCTGAAAAAAGGAATGAAATTATTTTGCTGTATAAATAAAAAAAAAATCAAATTATTTAATTCCTTAATTGTGCAGAAGAATGGGTTGAATCTGCTTGTTTCCTCCCCTGTGGCCGAGGCCTGGGCTGTGAAGAAACCTATTAAACAGCTGTTATCATGTTTGGTTTCCATGCTACTGGAGCAGCATTTTCCACAAACCAAATCATCATGAGTGTGAAAGCAAACTATACCATAAGCAAAAGCTCTACTATGTGGTTGCTAATTCTGCTCAGACTGGGTAGATTGTGAGCTCCACCAGCCCCAAATGTACCATGCCAGCCCTTTGACTTGCCCTAGCCTTAATCTTGTTGTGCTCTCCCTATCATGTTTTGTTAAGCACGGGGCACCAACTGTGCTCGCTCACCTTTGGCTCACAGCACCATCCCAAGGTGATGCTGGAATCAACATGAAAGAGTCTGACATTACAACTCTACTTGTAGAGTGGAGTTTAGCAGGGCCACCTGGTCAAGGCAGGAAATTTGCTGTTCATCTTAAGAATAGAATAGAATAGAATCAACCAGGTTGGAAAAGACCTCCAAGATCATCAAGTGCAACCTTTGATCCAGCACTGCTGTGGTTACTAGAGCATGGCACTAAGTGCCACATCCAGTCTCATCTTAAAAACCTCCAGGGACAGTGAATCCACCACCTCCCTGGGCAGCCCATTCCAATGTCTGATTACTCCTTCCGTAAAAAATTTCTTCCTAATATCCAACTTAACTTCCCCTGGCAGAGCTGAAAATCGTGACCTCTTGTCCTAATTCCTTTAATGCCCAGCACTGTGCTTCGGTCTGCACCCTGCCCACATCCCAGGGACACACAAGATATAAACTCACAAATCACTAGTCAGCACTGTCCAGTGCTTGGCACATTCAGCAGCCTGTCACTTGAACAGGAATGGGATAAATATATGGGGTATATTTATTGTTATAAATAACTATACATTGCCATAATATCGCTATATTATATTGATATAATAGACATTTCAGGAATTTTTAAGGGTAATTTTTTTGAGGAAAAGGGTGTTAAATTCAATGTCTCATGACACTTCGGAGAGAGAAAAGTTTGCCATCCAGGAAGTATTGCTCAGCTGAGGCTGAAGGTGTAAGATTTTTTTCATTTCTGATGTTAAACATGAGGACAGAGAATGAGGAACAAGGGTGATATAATGCAGCAGAGAGTGAGGAGTGAGCCTCCTTGACTTGTACGTGTTAAGTGTCAGTGTAACACCTTCAGAAGCATTCAGTTTTTGAGGCATAAAATGATGTTATTGTTTTGAGTAGCTCTATTGATTTTCATTATTAAAGCGCAGCATATGGAAAAATTGTGCAATGCACATTGAAAACTTTTTGCCTCATCTGGAAATGGAGAAGTTTCTTGTTAAAGAATCCCCAAAAGTGTGTGTTACCAGAAAAACCACAGGTGCTGCAATCCAACCCCAGTGACAGACAGGGTTGGATTGCACATGTGGATTGCCTCACGTTTCATTGATACCACATGACCTGTCAGTCCTCAATCCTTGACAAACCATGTCTCTGCCTTCTCTTGCTGTCCAGTAAAAGACTTTCCCTCGTTGGCCATCCACAAGTAGCAAACATATTTTGCAAAGGCCTCTGAAGATGAAACCTGCTATTTTGGCATTAGGCTAGCTCAAGATTAATGTTCAGCATTTCTATATTAGGAAGACATTTTTCACTGTGAGGGTGGTGAAGCACTGGCACGAGTGGTCTAGAGAAGTGGCGGATGCCCCATCCCTTGAAGTGTTCAAGGTCAAGTTAGATGGAGCTCTGAGCAACGTGGTCCAGTGGAAGGTGTCCCTGCCCATGGCAAGGGTGTTGGAACTAGGTGATTTTTAAAGTCCCTTCTAACCCAAACTATTCTATGATGATTTTAGGCACCTGCCTGACCAGGTCCCTCATGATGAGGGCCGAGCCCTTGCAGAGGGACGGAGAATAACATCTCTATGCTGCGCAGAGACCCACGGGGAAGGCTTGTCACTCTGGCCCCGAGAGGCTCCCCGGCTGTCCCCGCCTCGCTCTCTTTCCCCCCTCACCTTGGCCGCCCGGTTGAAATAGCTGAGCTCCGGAGGCCCTTCCCGTCTGGGCGGGATGAAGCTGAAGGCGGAGAAGGCAGCGAGGGCAGGCCGCCTCCTTGCCGCCGCGATGCCGAGAGCCTCCTCGGCCCACCGCGCCCCTCCCGCGCCCGGCGGCCACGGGCCGGGGCCGGCCATGCTGCGGGGCGGCCGCCGTCGCCCGGCAACGCTCCGCCGGGCACCGGGCCCGGCCCCGGCCTGCAGCCTGGGCGGCCTGGCAGGAACAGACCCTCGGGGGCGGCTGGGCTCCGGTGCTTGGGGACTCTGGGCGTTCCACAGAGCGGTGTTAAGGCTGAAATGTGGATTCCCGGACACTCGGCCGTGGGGTTTTGGTCTCGGTTTTGAGCAGCTCAGGCTAGCTCCCTGGTCCCTTGTGTCCTTGGAAGCTGGGGTGGGTGCTTAGAGCAAAGCTTGGCTGAAAGGTACTAGCTTTTTTTGCTGAATAAAAAATTTTGTTCAATAAAAACACACTGCAGCATGGAATTTCCACCAGAATGAGGATCCCGAGTCTTGAGGACCTTGGTTTCTTTGCCCAGCAGCTCCTCACCCACTCGGGCACAGGTTTTAATGGGATGCTCAGCCATTTCAGGCAATGCGGTTGGAAAACTCACACACTTGTGCTGGGAGCACTGAAAGTAAGCATCTCCTGTGTGCGCATCTCAGACTGACTGTAAAACTGCTCTGCCCTAATAGCACCTGGGTTCACCCCACAGATATCCCGGTTTATTACATACATGTAACTATGCCTGTGCTGCTTCTTACTGTGCCTCTTAGGGATCTGTGAGGGTCTTGGTTTGGTTTATCTTTGTTTTCTGCAACCACAGTTGTAGAACTATTGTGCTATAGGTACAGCATTACAATTATTATTGCTACCAGTATCTTTTGGTTAGGAGTTTCACAACAGCATTCTTTCAGGCATCTGGAATTTTACTGAACATCCCAAATTTATTTTAAAACCTCCAACATTCAGAGTTGGAAATCTGAAATCTTCACAACTGATTGTTTCAGGCATTTTGGAGCCAGGCCTACAAAAGTCTTGTTCCTACTATGTTGCTGCTACTCTCCCATCACTAATCCACTGAATAACACAGACTACTGCTTCTTTGCAAGTGCAGAGTGGAGGCATTTATAATCTGCAGACTTCTATGGGGTTTCTTTAAAACATTTGTGACAATTTCCATCTGCTTATCTAATAATGTCCCTCTACCAATTAATATCCTCTTCTTTCTGTAGCACGAGCCAAATTAGAGCAGCGTAAGCGAGCAGTGGAATTGAAAATCCAATAGCTGCCTTACATCAGCTTCCTACGCAGAGACCTCTTGCCACTGTGCAAGTACTTTTTTTGTAATTTAGTCCGAGCACAAAGAGATAGCAAGCCCACTTTATAAAAAGTAGCTCAGCCGAAACTGCAGCTATAAATAGAGCCACAAGAAACTGTTCACCAGAGATATAAACTAAGCTAGGCAAGAGCTCTGAAGTCAGACCTGAAAGGTTTCTCTCCCATTTTCTTCCAACTGTTCTCATGTACCTCATTTTGATTAATGTTAAATTGATGGCAATAAATTGAATTACAGCATCTGGATGCAATACAGATTGTTAAAAATATTGCTGGATGCTTGTTATAGATTTGCCATACTCCCCAATCCATCCAAAATAATTTAAAACTATGGTTTTCACTATTTTTTTCCTTTGTAATGAAGGTATAAATCCTTTTAGAATCATTTGAAACTTTACAAAAGCTTTTTCTGGTTGATTTTAGCAGACTCCCCATAAGCAGGATATGAATGTCCGGGGGGGGTTGTTCCAATTGCAACCAGACTTTACTAATATCCTACTGTTAAGTGCATGTTCCTGTTATAGAGTAGCATGGAAGGTCGGTCTGTTTCCTTAGTAACTTAAATATGAACATGTAAACAATGAAGCAGTTTTAGTCTGTATGGTGAAAATTATGCATTCAAATACAGCTGAGCTAGGAAACCAAAGAGTTAAAAATTGCTTTGAATTTGGTGGCTTAAGGCTGAGAAGTTCAATTGCCTGCCTTTTTAGAGTAATACCCCTTCATGTTCCACTGCTACGATTCCTGAGTTTCAAACATGTTGGTATGTATTTTTATAGCAATTTTTCACACCTAAGTGTGTCAAAAGCAGGGTCACTGTTCTAAAATGTCAGACTGGCTTACGAAATAACTTTGAAAAAAGAATTCTTAAAATGAATAGGTGAAGAAAATAGTACTGGAGGCAGGTAGAGGGGACACAACAGAGACAATGACAAGGGGTGAAAGGAGACAGGATTGACACAAGAGGACAGATGACATATAACTGGACAGGTCATTGATACACAGAAAAAACACAAGTAGCTGTTTTCTTACTACAAGCTGAGGTACCTGTTTCAAGCTTATGTCACTTAGAGCTGAGAGCCTGCTTTCAAATTAAGGTTTAGCAATCCATCTCCTGTCCTAGCTGTTTGACCTCAACATGTATCAGATTGCCATGTGGTCCTGACCTCCAGCTGAGCCACAAAGGAGAGACAGTCTTTGCAAAAATGTTCCATTTGATGGCCCTTGAAAAAGGCTGAAACAAAAACGGCTCAAAAACTCTCCCATTTCCATTCCCATAGCTTTGGGCCAAGCCAGTTGTTTCACAGAAGTGCTTATTTCTTCTAGATTCTAATTATTGACTGACTGCTCATCTCAAACAGGAAGGCTCTTCAGAAACGTGGGGTCCCTCCCACAGGAGACAGTCCTCCATGAACTTCTCCAATATGGATTCTTCCCTTGGTCTGCAGTTCTTCATGAACTGCTCCAGCATGGGTCCCTTCCACGGAGTTCAGTCCATCAGAAGCAAGCTGCTCTACCACAGGTCACTCGCAGGGTCACAAGTCCTGTCAGCAAACCTGCTCCAGCATGGGCTTCTCTCTCCTTGGGCTCACTGTTTCTGTCAGGAACCTGCTCTAGCGCAGGCTTCCCACAGAGTCACAGCCTCCTTCGGGCATTCACTTGCTTCAGCATGAGGTTGTCCATGGGCTGCAGGTGTATCTCTGCTCCACCATGGACCTCCATGGTCTGCAGGGTTACAACCTGCCTTACCATGGTCTGCACCACGGGTTGCAGGGGAATCTCTGCTCCAGTGCCTGTCCATGGAGTTGTTTCCTCTCTATGGCTACTGTTGCAGTGGTTTTTTCCTCTTCCTAAATACTTTATCCCAGAGGTGCTACCACCATTGCTGATGGGCTTGGCTTTGGCCAGCCAGCTGGAATTGGCTCATTGTCAGACATGAGGGAAGCTTCTGGCAACTTCTTACAGAGGCCACCTCTGTAGCCCTGTCCCCCCTCCTTGCTACCAAAACCTTGCCACACAACCCAGTAGAGCTGCACAACTCAATATAGCTGACTGATATCTGCTCCAATTCAGATGAATATTCTGTTCAATAACCCTCTTGGTAAGAAGAGTAATACACAGTTTTATACATGAGGTGATGTTACTTTCATAACAATTTCTATTTGTAACACTGTTTTGGAATGCAAACATGAAAAATTCTAGTCCAGGAATGTCAACCTTTCAAAATACTCCACTTGCACTTTTTCTTGTCAAAACTGAGATTTTTATGAAGAGCATCTCAGTGTCTACAAATAGATTTGAAAAATGCTGCATAAAAAAAATTTCAAACAACTCTTGGTAGAATCTTTGTTTTAAACAGGGCATCCTACAACATAAAGGAGTTCATATTGTCACAATTACAAACATGAATAAAATGCCCTTATGTTGCATTTTGACATATCATAAGCTACACTGACCTTAATAATTCCTGCCCCTAAATTTGAAAATGCTTAAAATTAATATGTAGCAAACTTTAGGGTGAACCAGTTACAGATGATTTACATACCACTTTTGACAAATCCATCCAAACCTGAATTACTTCAAAGAACAAAAAATACTCTTTCAATTACATGTTTTATTTAAGGCACATATATTTGACATTTGTTTCCTCCTCAGAGTCACTTCACTATTTTAGACAAGAAATGAAGAATAAAACTAAAAAGCCCTAGGCTTAAAATTGTTTGGGGTTCACCTGTAAAAAGTGTTGAAGGGTAGTATCTATATTAGATGAAGGAGAATCTGCTATCTGAAAATGAAAAATTGAAGTATGTTCATACCTAACCACAACCAAAAGGAAAACTAAATATCAAAGTACAAGATAATCATATCTTTTAACAGTAAATCTTATGCTATTTAAAGCATCTTGACAACATAGCTTATTATTTGTCCAGATATGAAGTTCTGAAAACAAAACAGGACAGACTTGAAACAGCTCTACATTCACATATGCACAGCTGTAGCTTTAGAAACAGACTGAACTACCTGTGTCTCACCAGAAAAAGGGAAGGTCTGTAGATATTTCACAAAATGGAGAAAACATAAAGGAATTTAAAAGAATGAAAAATGCTTTTCACATAACTTAAGTAAGATACTACTGTCTGTCTTTAGAAACAGCAGCTAAATAGCATTATTTTCAGGTAATCCTAAATACTTTCATAGTTAATAAAAATACCTGCAAGTCTAGTCTTTCTTCTTGTCCTTTGGTAGTCCTCCATAAACTGGAGCAAAGCACTGACATCAAAAAAGAATTTCAGCAAGCTTCCCAGGTGTTCCCATTTGAATTTCTTTTTTCCAGACCACAGTGAATCACTCTTACATTGATCTTTTGGCTGCTGCTTCACAGTGTGAAATGCATTTGCATTGTACTTTTGGAACGCACGCTCTGTGGTTCGCTAGCAACCTATGTCACCAACATGGAAGTTGTAGAACTTGATGAACCTTACTGTAATGTGGAATATATGGAATGTTAAATACTATTTGTATGATTATCATAAAGTTTTTCAAGTTACACACTGATACATGAGTAGCATTATATCCAGTTACTGAGGCTGAAATTGCTGCAGGAGGAGGAATAAAGAGGATACAAGAATTGTGGGTGAATCTAGAGCGGAAAAATAAAACATTATAAACAGTAGATGTAAAATGCATTGGAAGACAAGAGGTATGTATTAAATACAAATAGCTTTTCCGCACTAGAAAGATAATAATGATGCTCAGTAACTGAAGGCTAGAGGGAGGATGGTATGCACCTTTCTTTGGGCATC